GAAATTAGCCCATTTGGGATACTGGGAAAAACCCAGTGGATTGAAGGAGAGACGGGGTAAATTTGGTGAAGCTATAGAAAGAAGGGGTTGCCCCGGAAAGGGGCAGGTTTGACTTGGCGCAGGGCTGATGCTCCGTGGCACGGCGGTGCGTGCGCAGGCACTCCAGATCATTTGGAGGTGGCAGGAGCTGCCCATGGGCCATCGACGCATAATCTTGGTGAAGTTCTCAATCGCTGGCTCCCGCTGTCGTTTTTGTGACAACCCCTTGCTTGTTCCCGTGAGCGTGGGTGCCATTGTCACACAAGTGAGCCTGGCTTCTCCGGAGCTCTGCCTGCGCCCAGAGAGGCACCCGCATTTCCAGCTCCATACTGGGAGGTCTCCAGGGTGCCAGGCTCCCTGGGGACGGCTTTGGATGCCGTTTCGGTGCAAATTTGGGGTGCTCTGTAGGTAACGCTGGTTGCAAGTGGAGGCACCCCATCGAGCTGAGGGTGCCTTTGCCCCAAAGCAAGGGCAAGCGCCACGGGGCAGCGGGCATGGATCCCAAGAGAGCTGAGAAGCCTAGAAATACCCTTCACAGCCTCCTCTTCCTCTCCCCCCTGCAGGGCTTATTGTGAAAGAGATCAGCTCCTCCACCTCCAGCTCCTCGGAGACGGTGGTGAAGCTGCGGGGGCAGAGCACCGACTCCTTACCCCAGGTACGCGGTGCCGGTGGAGCTTCGGGGAAACCCAAGGCCCTGCTGGCACCGGGGGTTTGGGTTTCCCCGACCCCCCTCGGGCTCCCCAGCGGGTCCTGAGGTCCCTTTCTGCTTTGCCCAGACAACGTGCCGGAAACCGAAGACGTCGACGGACCGACACAGCCTGAGCCTGGATGACATTCGGCTCTACCAGAAGGACTTCTTACAGCTGGCCAACCTCTGCCAGGACACGGCCCAGAGCTACACCTTCGGCTGCGCCCACGGGCTGGAGGAGGAAGGGCTCTACTGCAACGGCTGCTTGGCCCAGCAGTGCATCAACATCCAGGAGACCTTCCCCGTCAAAAGAACCAGCAAATACTTCTCGTTGGATCTCACCCACGACGAAGTCCCCGAATTCGTCGTCTGAGCGCCGCCGGTGGGGGGGAGAGCAGGACCGGCTGCCCGCCCTCGGTGTTGGGGGGCAAAGCTGGGGCTCCCTGCCCTGCATCGGGGGCCGCCAACGCCGCTTTCCCCCCGCCCCACGCCACTCCCTGCAAAGCGAGGCTGTGGAAACCGCTGCGCTCGGAGGATCGCCCCGACGGTGGGTGGGATGGAGACCCCCTGGGCGCGGTGGAATCCCACCGGCGGTCCTTTCTCCTCCGGATGAGTTTGTGCCAACCACAAGTTGTCTTATTTCGACTGGGAGAAGCACGGCTCGTTCGAGCTAGCAGAAGCCAACCCGTGCTTTCTCACTGCCTCGCGGCGAGGTGGCCTCTTCTCCTCCTCGCCCCCATCCTCAGCGCTGCCGGTGGCTCCGGCGGTGGCTTGGTGGCAACCGACGCCGGAGAACGAGAGCCAGACTGTTGTGTTCAAGTCAAGCCAAAGAAATGTAAATATCCTAAAGGCCAGTATGGGGAGGGAGAATTAAGCAATAACCAGCCGGGGGTCGCCGAGCACGGGTGATGTACCGTGGAGGAAGGCACGGCCAGCGGCTGCTGGGGCAGAGCATCAACCCAGTTCTTCCAAAAAAAACACGTGCTGGAGGTCACGTCAGAGCAGTCCCGGCGAGGCGGCTGGGAGCTCTCAGAGCTGTTTGCAGCTTGGTTTTTTTTTTTCTTCTTTTCTTTTTTTGAGAAAAAAAAAAAAAACACACCAAAAAAAAAAAAAAAAAACCCACACCAAAAAAAAAAATAACCCACCCAAGAAAAACAAAAGCAAAGGAGAATGGAAAAGGATAGGTCATCTGTAAGGATACTGCAATAATGCATCCCAAACTTTGAATATTTAGAGGTAACATATATAAATATATCGAGGTATGTATGTTTATATATGTCTGGATCTTATAGACCCATTTGCATTTTATTTCTGTTCTAAAATACCTTTTATACAAAGGATCTGCCTCTCTTCTTTAATGAACCATATAAACAATCTTTTTTTTTTTTTTTTTCCTGAACACTAAGGTGAGAAAAACAGACTTTCCTCTCGAGAAGAATATGTATGCAACTGCGTTGTAAGCGTGGCTCTTCCCGGTGCAGGCTCCGTTGTGTTTTACCAAGGCTTTTCACGTGTCTTTAAGTCTCTCACACATTGAATAGTTCTGCTAAAGGATGATGGCGATCAGGATGATGGTGATGGGCTTCTTGAGCGTGTCCTAGGGAAGCTAACCTGCCCAGACGTAATATTTACCATCGGTACCGGAGGGTAAAGCATTACAGCAGCTAATATTCACAGCACAATGCCTTTTTAGTCGATATTTTTAATTAGAGTTTAGTGATTGACAGCCAAAGTTTTGCCATATTTTGATATACCACCTTTTTTTTTTTTAACTGGAAACTTTTCTTAAAAAAAAGAAAAAAAATATTATTTTATAAATAAGCACAACCTTATTTTTATAAGAAACGTTGGGGGAGGGAGCCAAGAAGGGGGAACTGGTACCAAAAGAAAAGGCATGGTGCAAAAAACCTCAGTGTTATTGCGATAGGGGAGCTGGTAGGGGAGAGCATCGGGTGCTGCCATGGCTCTGAGCCCTGGCACCGTGGCACCCAGAGCTCGATCTTGCCCGGCGACGTTGACTATTAAGGGCAAATAATGTAGGTAGCCAAATGCAGGCAGGGTGAGCAGGAGGCTGGTGGCCCCTATAACCTCCTTTATCTCCCCAAAAGCCGCCGAGGGCAGCCGGAGGGATGCTGCCTGGGGCTCAGGGCTGTGTGCCCTGCTCTGGTTTTGGGGAAAGCCCAGCAAACACCCCCAAAACCTCTCTTGTGGCTGAGATGCTGGGGGTTGCTAGCACTCCAGACCCCCACATCCCCGGCCAGCTTTGCTCCACCAACGTGGGTCTGCCGTGCTGGAACCGCACGGGCTGGTACGAGCAGGAAAATCCCCTAAATTCATCCCCAGCCTCTTTTTTTTTCCTCCCCCTGTGCCAGCCCCTGTGAGGCACCAGGGCTGCAGCACCCAGCTCAGGGGGGTTCCTGCTGGCACCTGCTTGGCTGGTGAGCCCCCAGTGCCCTCCGCAGCACCCATAGTCGGCAAAAACGTGTAGCTGGAGGGAGCAAAAGGGTAAATTGTGTCAGGAAATGCTCGCTGCTGTTTGGAAAGCATTGGAGGGGGGTGTGTGGGGAGCAGCTAGACCAGATCCTCTCCATTTTTT